CGAGACAGCTGGGTGAATCAGATGTGGGCAGAGAGGTTAATTGATATGATGGGGGGCAATTACTGAAACCAATACCCTGTATGTCTTTCTCTGCAGCATCTGAAAGCTGGATTCTTCTCCTCTTCCTCCCACTGGTTTTCAGCTGCTGCAGAGAGAGCCATAGAGGGGATTGGTTCCAGTCATTTCCCCCCTGCCCACCATGCCAACCACCCTCCCTGTGCATACCTGATTCACCCATCTGACTGGGCCCCCACAATGCCTGCTTGCCACTGGCAGCTGCAAGTAATTATAGGATCCTTCAGGATGAAGAGTGGGGGAAGGGTCTGATAAATATGTCACATTAACTAGCCCCTTCCTTTCCTGAATGAACACAATTGAGTGATCAGCACTGATCACTGTGTTCATTCATAACTGAAGCATCGTAAACTGGGTTTTTTTTTTGTTCTTTTTTTAAAGAGGCCCTGTCAGGTTGGCTGTATGAGGCCCTGTGGTTTCTAACAGCAGCCCTGCACACGATAAAGGGATATGCTTTTTTCATATTTCATGTCTGGAGCTGAACTCCAGCAATGATATATTTTGTATATTGTGCCAACTTGGCTCTCTGTGTATGCATATGTGATACCTGATCGACTTCTGTGTGAGCTGTAAATTACTGTAGTAGCTCTGGCTGCAACCTTCTAGGTGCCATGTTGAGTGGCTGCCCGTCAGTATAGTAAGGGTCACTCATTTGCCTTGGCTGCTTATATTTTTCTCATCAAATGCAAAGCATTCTGTGATTGGATGAGGTGGAGATTGAGACAACATCACCCCTCCTCTCCACCCCCCTCCACCTCAAGAGACAGCTTTACATGCATTGGGAAAAATGCAAGATGTTCTTTGAATGGCAAACAAATGACCCCCTGTGATTACTATGCAGAAGGGCAGCAATTCGGCCCATCACTGAGAAGATTGCAATCAAAGCTCCTACAGTGATTTACAGTTTACACAGAGACCAATCTGGTATCATATACAAATACACACATTGAGACAAGGTGGCCTTATATACATTTCCAAAATATATAATTGCCGAAATTCAGCTTCAAAGGATAAGGTCACCTTTGGCAACATGCTAAGTGTTCTGCCCGTTTCTTCTCCTGTGGCCTCCCCCAGATCCCACTTCTAATTGTAACAGTGCACTAGGGTTCTTCTCCCCAAACTCGTTGTCACAATTTGAAAAGAACACGGCAGTGCAGAGTTCCACCAATATGGCCGATTCAATCATTCTAAGAGTTCTGTATATGAACTAATGAACTGCAAGTACTGACAGCCTTTGCAGCTGTCAACTTGTAGTTCTCAATGAACTACCAGGGCACTGATGAGCTCTCTAGATAGTTCATGGATTCTTCCTGACATTGTGTAACTGCCTGCCTGTATTGGAGGTACGAGCAGACAACTTACACTGACAGTCTGCAGGAGCCCTGCATTGCACCTGTGATTTGCTGATCACGGGTGCAATGCTTTAGAGGTTCCTAATAGTATATATATATAAAATAATAATAATACTAATAATAATAAAAAAAAAATTCTAATTTTTTTTACCCTTAAAAGATTATGCAAATAATATTTTAGCAAAGTGAACTTATCCTTTAAAATAGCTGTAAACTCCAATTAAATGACATTTAATTTGCCAAACCACTGCTTATACTAGAAAAAATTATTTAAAAGAAAATGATTTATTTTCCTTTTCTGCATCTTGGTGCTGTTGATCTCCTGCAGACACTGCAGCCATTTCATGGCTATATACACTCCTCTGATGGCAGCGTGTCTGAGTGACAGGGTGACCATGCAAGAACATAATATTTGGGACGCAGGAACAAAATGTTGCCACCCTATAACAAGAAGTGCCTGAACAAAGACCCTCATGACAGGATCAACAGATTATGTTTAAGGTGAATTTTTATTCTTAAAATTCAAATGCACAGGTACATGTATTAAAGGGCAGGACCACACATAATAATCAGTGGGCCATCAAGGTACAGAATCATGAAATTGTGTTAAAAAAAGAACTACAATATACACACCAACATGGAAAATAAACAATAATTCTGCACAGTATGGCCATGTAACTAAATTAATATTAATAAAGAAGATTTAATACAAGCAACCATTGTCAGGTGACTTGTGGGTTTTATCCTTTACAGACAGTTCAGTAAGAACTCATGTAAAGGTAACAAGGTGATATGGGTTTTAGCCTCAAAGAACTTGTAAAGATTTGCAATGCACTGATATTTAGGATATGATTTGTGAAAATATTTTTTTTGACAATAAAGTTTGACAGACAATTTACACCTTCCTGCCCAGGCATTTTTCAGGTTTCAGCGCTCTCACACTTTGAATGACAATTGCGCAGTCATACAACATTGTACCCAAACTAAAATTTTCAGTAAGAACTCATGTAAAGGTAACAATGGTATAGATCTGAATATTGATCAATCCTGAAGTACTGACAGCCAATCTAATTTCTTGAGGTCCAAGAATGTCAGAATAGTACAGATATCCCCAAATGACCCCTTTTTGCTGAGTAGACAGTCGGACGTACTTCATAAGAGGCATGGCGAGTTTTTTGAAGGTGATATTGGTGTTGTCTAATATATTAGATATAAAGTTGTCATTCACAGAAGGTCAGCCTTATTTCTCAACTTGTAAAGATTTGCAATGCACTGATATTTAGGATAAATTTGTGAAAATATTTTTTTTTTTACAATAAAGTTTTTTTTAGATTAAAATTTACATATCAGCCATGAAGGACCTCTTTACAAAAGCTTTGCGAAAAAATTTAAGTTAGATATATCTAGCCTTTGTTGATTAAACTGGAAATGGAAAACTGGCCAATCAGGGATTTTATTTTTATGAAAGCTGCAGAATTAAAAATATTGAAAATTATTTTTTAAATTACTATGCACCAGCGAAGAAATAATTTTTTTGTTCATTCACTTTTTCAGAAAAAAAAATGAAAATATGAACACCCTCCCCTGGTCCCTACTGTAGTTACTTCCGTGGGTGATGAACTGTCAGTGCCCATACAGGTGGTGTAGCGGTCCTGGAATTAGAAATCCCCGCTCTTCTCCCTTTTCCCTTTGTAGGGCTTCCAGCACAGAGATCAGAGTGATTCTGATTGGTCAGCACTGACACAGAATAGCTCTGATCCGCTCTAGAAGCCCTGCAGAGTGAAAAACAGGATTTCAAATCCCAGGACCACTACACCTGCTGTATGGGCGCTGACAGATCATCACCCACGGAGATAAGTACAGTAGGGATGGGGGGGGGGGGGGAACACCCTCCCTTACTTAACATGAGAACATGAGCCATAAAGAGGTATATTTAGCATTTTCTTACTGTGGCAAATTGAAATTTTATAGGGAGATCGGGGGTCAGACACTGGCAGATGGGCGGCCAGGAGGTGACACCATGCCGGGATCACTGGACATTGAGTGTGGACTTATCATGGGGCTCACCGGGCACCCCGATCACTCAGCGGGGAGATCACAGCACCCAGATCTCTCAATATTTAAAGTCCACTTTCTAACTTTCTCTTTTTTCCATTAGTTTCAAGTAAGCAAAATCCTCTCTTTTATTAAAAAAAGGTATAGACTCCAGAGAGAGAGATATAATTTTTCCCCTGAACAAATCATTAGTAATACCTCATCTGGAATATGCAGTTACATTTTGGGCACCAATTCACAAAAAGAACATTGGGGAACTGGAGAAAGTACAGAGAAGGGCAACCAAACTGATAAGAGGCATGGAGGAGCTCAGATATGAGGAAAGATTCTATCTATCCATTCAGTCGTATCCGACCATTGGCGATTGCATGGTCCGTCACTCATAAGCAACGTTTTCCATGAATTCTCTTAGCAATTATTTTACAGGGTAGGTTGCCAGGTCTGAGGAAAGATTAGAGGAACTGAATTTATTCTCTCTTGAGAAGAGGAGATTAAGGGGGGATATGATCTCCATGTATAAATACATCAGTGGTTCACACAGTGAACTTGGTGTAGAGTTATTCACCCTGAGGTCATCACAGAGGACAAGGGGGCACTCTTTATGTTTGGAGGAAAAGAAGTGTAATCTCCAAACACGGAAAGGTTTCTTCATAGTAAGAGCTGTGAAAATGTGGAATAGACTCCCTCAAGAGTTGGTTCTGGCCAGCTCAGTGGATTGCTTCAAAAAAGCCCTTTATTCTTTCTTAGATACACAGAATATAACTGGATACTAACATTTATAGGTAAAGTTGATCCAGGGAATATCCGATTGCCTCTTGGGGGATCAGGAAGGAATTTTTCCCCTGCGTGAGCGAATTGGATCATGTTTTACTGTTTTTTTTGCCTTCCTCTGGATCAACTGAGTGGTTGCATGCTCTGGTTCAGGTGGGCGGTTGGGGGGCTGGCATAGCGTGTTTCCCCCCCCCACTGATCTTTTTAGTTCCTTCCACCAGCCATTAAGTCTTGTAGAGAAATTGCAGCTGGCAGGAGGAACCACAGAGTTCAGCGGTAGACACGCTGTCTGACAAACCACAGTAGGTGGTGGATATCTGCTGGCTCTGCAAGACTGTGAAGATTTTACAAGTTGCTTGCTGGGGAGATGAGTATTCTGTCTCTTCTATTACAGGGTGCAGCTTCCTGGATTAAGAGACATGTTGAATAGAGAGTGCCCAGGTCCTGAGGCCCCAGGGATGCTGTTTTTTTTTGTTTTTTTTAATAAATATTTATTGATTTTCAACCAAATACATTTTACAATCATTCTCTCCAATAAAAAAAAGAGAAAAAAATATCAATTTACTGCAATAATTATCACCCTAATTATCTCTAACCCCCCCCCCCTCCCATCTAACTTCCTCTCTCCCCCCCCCCCCCCCCCCCCCCATCCACCCACTCTGCATTTTCCCACATCCTCTCTATAAAAAACAATCAGAGTATTCATAATATTAGACATTATACCGTCATATATTTCACATTCAAATTAAACTCTTCCCATTTTTTCCATCTCACATAGTATGTCCCCATCTTGTCTACATGCATATAATAAAGTTTCTCCAGCTCACAAATCTGGTTCACTCTAGCTACCCAATCCTTTTCCCTCGGCACTTCTTTTTTACACCAAAACTTGGGTATCAAGCCTTTTGCTGCGTTTAAAAAAAACCATATACCTGAATCCTTATATAAGCTCTGTACTATGTACTATGTACTACTGATAGCTCTGTACTATGGAAAAGACAGATCTCTAATCTAACATTAATTTCAGTAATCATCCCCACCAAGTGAACTATTTTCTTCCAAAATACTTGTATTTTTGGACACTCCCACCATATATGATACAACGTGCCTATCTCTCTACAATCCCTCCAGCACAATGGTGAATTCTCCCTATTCAATTTATGTTCAACATTCGGTGTAATGTGCCATCTTATCAAACACTTATAATTTATTTCCACCTCTCACATACTTATATTTTCGTGAGTTAGTCTATATATTTTCTTCTGCTTCCCCTCATCTATTGCGACCCCTAGATCTCTTTCCCATTACCCTATATACATCGGTTTTGTGCTAGTGTCTAAATCAGTGAAAATCTTGTATATTTTAGCAATTCCGTGTTTCCCATCTCCCCGTGATTCTAACAGCCTCTCAAATGGATTCCAATCCTTTCTAGTTCTCAAAGGTTTTGGGAGTTTCCCGACAAAATGTTTTAGTTGATGATAGCGCCACTCATCTATCCTAGTGAAAACTTCTCCTTTTTTCTTTTCCAACTCCTTAAGTGATCTCAATTCCTCCTCCACCATTATATCTCTCAATTGCGCATCCTCCTTCATAATCCATTTTCCTGTGATACCCTCCCTACCTGGAGAAAAAAAACTATGTGTTCCTTAGTGGCATTAACAGTGCATTGAAATCCCACCCCTTCTGTCTGTGCAGTACATCCCAAACTCTTAAAACATTTAAAGTGTACAAACTTGTGCTAACATCTAATCCCCTATATTGTGCAGGCACCCATATGATCCTACTCAAATTCGTTCCACTAAGTGCATTCTCAATTTTGACCTGACTTTTCCCTGGGTTGTGCGTCCAGTCAAAAATTCTCGCCATTATTGCAGACTTATAATATCTCTTAAAATCTGGCACTCCCAGTCCACCCCTCTCTTTATTTCTACTCAACGTTTCATAGCGTATTCTAGTTTTTTTTATTCCTCCATATATATCTTGTTAGAATTTTTTTAAGTTCTTTAAAATATGCCTCTGGAAGTTTGATTGGGACCATTTGAAATTTATATAGGACTTTGGGCACAATTACCATTTTTATCAGATTTATCGTCCTATCCAAGACCGGTTTCCTCCCCCTAATCTCTTTAACTCCTCTTTAATTGCGTTTAACAATGAGATATAATTTAATTTGTACAGATTCTTATATGAAGCAGAAAGGTTTACCCCTAGATAGTTTAATTCTTTTTCTTTCATACAAAGGGGAATTCCTTTTGTATCTTTTCTTTTTCACTGTTTGTAAGATTTATATTTAAAATCTCAGTTTTTGTTGGATTAATTTTTAAATTTGATAACTCCCCATATTCCTTCAGTATCTTCATTAAATTTGGAAGTGTTATCCTAGGGTTTCCCACATAGAACATCAGATCATCCGCAAAGGCCGCCACTTTATGTTCTCTATCTCCTATCTGCATTCCCTTTATATCTGTATTCTTCCTTATTGTAGACAGCAAAGGCTCCAAAGACAAAACATACAACAATGGGGACAATGGGCATCCCTGTCTTGTTCCATTTGACATCCCGAAAAGCTCCGACATTTCTCCATTAACCATAATAGCTGCTGAGGGCCACCTATACAATTTTCCAATCCACTCTTTCATTCTAACTCCCAACCCCAGAGCTTCCAAGGTGTCCATCATGAATCCCCAATCCACTCTATCAAACGCTTTTTCGGCATCGATCAACAACAACACCACCAGGGTTTTCTCTTTTCTACTTTTCTGAATGAGTAACAAAGATCTCAACCCACTGTCTCTGCCTTCTCTCCCCGGGGGAAACCTCACCTGATCCCCATGTATCCATTCGGGCATTAAATCTTTCAGCCTGTTTGCTAATACCTTTGCGCACAATTTAGTATTTGTATTCAGCAATGAAATCAGTCTATAACTTGAGCACTGGGTGGCATCCTTTTCTTCCTTATGAATTAGAACCACATTAGCCTGCAGGGATTCTCGCCTCATTTCCATCTCCCCCCTAGGGCAGTGGTGGGCAACCTTTTTTTTTCAACTGAGCCAAATCTCGCCAAAATCACGATTGAAATTTATTTTGAGAGCCACATTTTTAAAACTGAAAATACATCCCCCATATAGTAATTCATCCCCCATATATAGTAATTCATCCCCCATAGTAATTCATCCCCCATATTAAGTCCCCAAGTCCCCCATATTGTGTCAATTCACTTACCTTTGCTCCGCGCGTTCTTCTCGCCGTGTTCCCGCGCCGTTCTGGTCTTCAGGGCGGACTGTGAGAGGAGAGGAGTTCGTCACGCTGCCCCGCCTACATCCTGGCTGCCCCGCCTACATCCTGACAGCTGCAGAGTCCTGACTTTTGGGGCGGTCGCCCGAGAGGAGGGAGGGGGGCGGCCGCCCGAGAGGAGGGAGGGGAGCAGGTGCCCGGCACACAGAAGAGCCGCATTTAAGTTTGTAAAGAGCCGCATGTGGCTCGCGAGCCGCGGCTTGCCGACCACTGCCCTAGGGCATTCATATATATCCTCAATCTGGGTACTAACAGTTCTTTGTATTTTTTATAGTATCTCACAGTATATCCGTCTGGCCCTGGACTTTTCCCCGCCATAGTATGCTTTAATGCTACTTTTATTTCTTCTTGTGTGATTTCTGAGTCTAGGGAGTCCAATTGTACTTCACTCAATTTCGGTAAACCTGCATTTTTTAAATATGTCCTTCTTTTTTCCCTATTTACAATTCCAGCATTATTTATAGAATCATGGGAGATAATATTATACAGCTTACTATAATATTCCTTAAATACTCTAGCAATATCTTTAGTTGAATGAACCAATTCACCTTTGGGGTTTCTTATTTTTTCTATATAATTCCTATTTTTCTTTTTCCTCAAGGCTCTCATTAAGTACTTTCCTGGCCTATCTCCCCATCTGTATCTTTCACTTATTATTTTATTGAAAACTCTCCTTTTTTCCTCTTCCATTAAAGTCTCTAGTTCTTCTTTTTTATTATCTTCTGCATTATCTCTTTAGATATTCTACATTTATGCACCTGTTCAAGATCAAATATTTCCTTTAGAAGCCCACTAATTCTTTTCCCCCTCTCTCTTTTCTTTTTTTCCCCAATCGCAATAATGATTCCTCTGATGTAAGCCTTATGGGCCTCCCACACTGTAGCCACTGACACGTCTCCTGTATCATTCTCCTCAAAAAATCATTTGATCTCCTCCCCGATCTTCTGATCAACCTCTTGATCCAGGAGAAGGGCCTCATTCAACTTCCAGACTAAACCTCCCTTCATCTCTTTTCCCCATCCTAATTTCATTGTGACAGGGGCATGATCAGATAAAGACATTACCTCAATTTTTACTTCTACCAGAAACTCTATAAAATCGATGTTCCATCACTATATAATCCAATCTTGAATATGTCTCGTGTGCATGTGAGAAGAAGGTATAGTCTCTGTCCTTCATGTGCCTAATTCTCCATATATCCACCAGTTGGCACTCATGTATCAACTTCTTTAATGATCTCAGAGACCTACTCTCCTCTCTCTGCACAGAAGAGGTTGCATCCATCTGCGGATGTCAAGGTCCTACCTTTTCCCTGAGGTTATGTTACTTCATGTGCTGGCGTCCATCTTGGATTCTGCTGTGCATGATGGGAGTCCTTTTTATGCCTTCAGGTCTCTGAGGTCCACCCCCCAGAGGGGCGTGGCTGATGACATATAAGCCTGTGGCCCGCACATGCTCTTTGCACTTGTGTCTTGTGTCTTTGTGTTACTATTACTCTGTTCTGACTCTCGTGACTCTCCTGGTATTCTGATTCGGCTTGTGACTTGACTATTCTTTGTATTCTCCTTTGATCTGACCCTCTGTTGCTGAACCCGGCTTGTGACCTGTGATTCTCGTCTGCTGTCCTGTACTGTTTTGTCCTGTTGTTGTTGACCCCGGCTTGTCTGACTACTCTTTTGTTTCTTCCACCAGCTACACGCCATTGGCGGCGGCCATTACCGCAGCTGAGGTGTCTCGGGGGCCGCGACCTGGTTCCTGGCTGCGTCAAGTCCATCCCCACCATCAGGGGCCCTGATGAAGGGCAGCCTGGGACTTAGACTCCGCGCCCTGAGGGACTCCAGTCTGTGGGTAGTGGTTGTCGTCAGCCAGTGCGTTACATTGTTAGGCCTGCCTGTCCGTTCCTCGGCTCCTGCCCTGACATTACACAAGTGCCATGAACCCTGACGGTGCAGGCACGCCTTCGCTCCCAACGCTAGTCGCCAGACTCGATCAACAGGATCACCTGTTAAATCAGTTCGCTCAGGCGTTGAAACTCTGCTTGCACGCACTGCACACCTTGCTCCTGGTGCTATTAGGCCGGTAGTCACTCCGGTGGTCTCTCCCGCTGCTTCTCCGCCTATTGCGTCCACCACCTCGGTGGCTGCATCAGCGGCACCCAGAGGTATGACTGGCTCTGCCCCTCTTCCACAGCGCTTTGGGGGTGAGCCGAGTCAGTGTCGTGGGTTCCTCAACCAGGTGGGTATTTATTTTGAATTAATACCCCACGCCTTCCCGTCTGAGAGGTCAAAGGTTGGGTTCCTAATTTCACTACTCTCAGACAAGGCCTTGGCCTGGGCAAATCCCTTATGGGAGAGGAATGACCCGGTGATTCAAGGTTTTTCCGGTTTTGTCGATGCCTTCCGTAGGGTATTCGACGTACTGGCTCATTCCGCCTTGGCGGCCAAGCTGCTCATGACCATGCATCAGGGTTCACGGACCGTGGCCGAGTACGCCATTGAGTTTCGTACCCTGGCGGCAGAGGTCGGTTGGAACAATGAGGCTCTGGTGGCTGCGTTTTTCCATGGTCTTTCTGACACACTGAAGGACGAGATTGCAGCCAAGGAACTGCCTGTGGTGTTGGAGGAGCTCATCTCTTTCCTGATCCTGATTGACACCAGGCTCAGGGAGAGGCCTTCACTCAAGGAACGCCTGCGGAGGCCTTCCAATCGACTGGCACCTGCGTTTTCTGTCTCACCCGTTCCTCCCTCTCCTCCCACGCCTCCTGGGGATGGATTGTCTGGTGGTGAGCCCATGCAGCTGGGGTTTGCTCGCCTTTCCGAGGGGGAGCGGGCCGCTCGGC